TATACTGCCAACCAACTCTCAACGTAATCCAGTTCGAACCACTATAAAAGGTCCTGGACGATTCTGTTGTTAAAACATGCAGGGTGGTCACTTAACCAGGATGTCTTGGAAAAAATATACAGAGATGTGTTTGGAGAACTATGAGCACCTGAAGGCTTTGCAATAATGTGTAAATGTAAGGTGTAAAGTGTGATGTATAACTAACATGATTAACAATAAAATGGGATTAAGAGAAAAATTAAAGAAAGATCTCACCCGATATGTTGCAAAGAAATCCATGACATCACGATGATTTCGAAGAGTTTCAATAGATATGCTGCAGCTACTTCTTCAACCGGTGTTAAAAACTTACTCAGCAAAAACAGCACTCTCGGCTTTCGGTTCTCACACAGCAGTGCAAACTCCATCAACCACGAAATACACTCTAGCTGCTCCAACTAGAGGGATCTCAGCAGAAAAAAGGACTGCATCCACTTTCCATCACCTCGCGACGCCAGCTCCTCACCGGCCGAATCAACTCGCGACCAACGCCGAAATCAGAACCAAAAACTCCAGCGACAGAAAACCCACGCGTCTAATAGCGCCCACGGCACACTTCGATTGCATTTCTGAAACACAACCTCAACGCACAAACACGACGATGACAACATTTGTCCGGGAGGCGGAACGCCAGCACGCACAAACAAAGGGGAAGACAAAATGCACACACAGAACACGGCACGAGCTGAACTGCTCTCGTTGAAAGCCAAACGCGAACTAACCTGGAGAATTTCTGATCCTGAAGTATAGAAGTTTTTGAAAACCTGAGCACCCGAAGCCCTTTGAAATCATTTCTGAGACATCTGCTATCATGATAGAATGTTGAAAAGTTGAAGATCTTCCGAATAATAGTTGATCATTCAGAAGTATAGAAAATATATCCAAAGATTTTTTTTTTTTTTGAGAGTTGGTCTGATGTGGTCTGATTATCTGAAGGTCTTTGGAATAATTTCCGAGTCACGTGGTATCAGATAAGAGAATATCTGAGAGACGCAATTTGAATTGATGGACACCTCCAAAATAGTACCTATTTAACCTGAAGGCATGCAAAAATATCCTGAGGATTCAATGAAGATCTCTGATCACCTGATGGCCTTTGGAATAATTTCTGACGAAGTGGTATCATAATAGAATATCTGAGAGACGTGATTTGAATTATTGGACAGTAGAAGATCTTTAGAATAATTGATGAGTATTGAAAAAATATCCAGAGAAGTTTTTGTAGATCTCTAATCACCTGAAGATCTTTGGAAACATTAGGAGTCATCTGGTTTCTTGAGATGCGTTTTGACGTAAAGCAAATTTATTTGCTCGATCATTTTGTCGACTCCGAACAATAACAGAATGCGATTTCGTTTCGTCACCTCGTTTCCTCCTGGCTGTCGGACATCTGTCAAATTTTGAAGCTATATTTGTATAGAAATTTGAAACAGAGTTTCATTCGTCTTTCAAATCCACTCATGAATAAAACAGAATTGTCGAGCAATTGCAAATATGGTGCACACTAAGGACTGTTCATTAATGAAAGTAGACACATGTTTCGCAAAGGAAAATATTTATTTTCGAACAAATTCATAAGTTTACTTTATATAAATGAAAATCAACATACATATGACCGATTCCACGTGAGTTTGAATGTTTACTTTTCATTTCTGAAGAACGCTTGGACTTTTCTCTTGATACCGCCCATTAGATTCTGCACAACTTACTTCTTAGCTTTTCGTTGTGCTGCAGACCAAATTTTCTTGAAGCAGTCAACAGAGCTAGCTTCTCTTCCATCTTTCTTTAGATGCCGTTTAATTATTGCCCAGTATCTTTCGATAGGACGCAGTTCAGAGCAGTTTGGGGGATTTTGGATTTTGAGCATCTCCAACGTAGCAGAAGCATAGTGAGCTGATGTCAGATCCGGCCAAAACAATGGAGGATCCGTATACTTTCGGTAGATGGGTAGAAGTCGTTTTTCGGTGTATTCTTTTCTGTAATTTTCACCATTGATACGTTGTGAAATACGAAGAATTCTTCAAGCCACAGGAGCAAATGGCTTGCCACACGAAAAGCTTTTCTGTCCTCTGCTCAGCGTTGAAAAATTGCGGCCCGGGAAGTGTACTGGTATCCAATATGACGTACGTCTCGTCGTCCATAAAAATGCACCGGTTCGGCTTTTGAAGGAGAACGTCATACAAGTTCCATGACCGTATTTTCGAAGAAGCTTTCTGTGCTTTTGGGTGCTTTTTGCTTCTTGTAGGCTTTTACGTTTTTTGATATTCTACACAGTTCCGACGCTAATGTCCAATTTTTTGGCAATTTCACGAGCGGAACACGGTTTATGCGATTTCAAAAGGCGTACTGCTGCCAGCTCCTTTTTCTGGTCCGATTTCATAAAATCTTCATGCGAACACGTTTCTCAAAACTTTTTAAAAATCTTGAACATTGTAGATTTACTGCACTTCACGCTTTTTGCCAATTCTCGAAACGACAACTTTTCGGAAAACTATTTGTGCAGAATTAATCTGCGATTTGATAAGCTGATTCACAATTTTTCGTTACGTTTTAACCCTAAACCATTGCTAAAAAGGTGTCCACTTTCGTTAATGAACAGTCCTTAGTACTCGAATAATGAAATTGCAACTCAGCATTGCGAGGGGTGCGTTTCTGTTCTAGTTTAAAATTGAAATAGTCCATATAAAATACAACAGCATTGCGAACTGCCTTAGACATTTGATTTATTTTAAATAAGCAATGTTAAAAAGTTCAGCATTTTGCATATTTCCACCTTCGGGATATTCATATAAGAACTTAATTTTTTTTAAGTTAAATCGTATCTAAAGTCTCAGAATCTTATTTTTTTTGCCATGTCAGATTTACCTTGGAAACTTTCAGAGAATTTCTTTAGAGATGCGGCTCGGCAGCTTAGTGGTTACCGTTTCTGCTTACTGAGCAATAATGGTGGGAAGGTCGGGAATTCCATCCCAGCCCGTCCCTTTTTTTTTCTTTTTATTATGCCTTAAAACAAATCTACTTTACCAACCCAGCCGCATCACTTACCACAGTGAATCCAGATAAAAAATAACCTGACCCAGACTAACACAACTTTTCCTTCCAATGACATTCGTAGAGACTCAGAGGCAGTCTTGTAAGCGGTCACGGTAGTCGACACATTTTCTGTGATAATCGACTGCCTTTGCCTCCGACAGTTGCAAGACAAGCTATCAAATTACAGTACCAAACTAAAATGTCATATGACAGGCTCTGTCATACGACACTGTCGCCGAAGACCGTCACGGATGTATGTATTTTAGTTTTTCTGATAATAAGAGCTGCTGATGTTGCGCGTGTGTGAATTCTGAAAATAGCAAGCAATGATGTCTTAGTAATAACATTTCTGATCAGAAATGGTTTAATTTACACCAAATTGAGGAATTAGAACGAAATCACACATGTAATATGACAGTTATTTGATAATTTTCTTTTTGCTCGAATGTTATTCTACCGTTTGTGTTGTGTGAGAGAGACGATGGTAGAGCATGAGTGTACGAATACAAACAGACTGTCACGCACGACAACGTAGCGACTGTTTCAACTCCTGCTCAAAGGTAAACACGGTATCTATAACAGCGGTTGTCATACTAATCATCCTTCCCCTTCCCAAAAGACCGTGTGGATGTGACCGGCGTCGGTGCTGATCTATAAATAGCTTTTTTTCCTTGTTTTCTATTATTTTCAAAGTCACGGTGTCAAAATCGACCCCGGGCCAAAACGAACACGTTTTTGTGGATTTGATGCCACCGTGTCAACATCGAACGGGTACTGTACACACACACTACTAAAAAATCAAGTGCCAACACGTGCAAACAGCGCATATGACATAAGAAACAGTTTAAAGAATCAAGGAATTTAATTCAATCAAACGCACTTTTCGTCGAGTTACGTATGTTTCAGTTTCGAAATACGACAGAATTGTTTACATTCCGTGATGTACGTCAAAGATGAATAACGTTACGTGTAAACGTAGTTATTTCCAATTATGTATGATAAAATCAGCGAGGTTTTGATTTTGCCAAAACATTGAAAATCTTGAACCACATATTTGCGTGAAAAATAGTTATACATTTTTATTAACCTTTCCTGCAGGAACAAAATGACTTTCAAATGTTGTTAGAACCCACAGACGAATCATTCAACGGTGATACTTTTGATGGTGTTAATGGCTTCCACATAATAAAACTCAATTTCATCTACCATGACTACGTCATTCGCTCCTTCTTTCACACTTTTACACCTCTCTGCGCAGTAATCAAACTTTAATGGGAAAAACATTTTGTCATGCAATGCATAATTGATTGCTTAATTCAGTCAAAGAGTTTCATTCGCATTTACCCTGTGGCGCCATCTTTCGGAATCGGAAATGGAACCTAACATCCCAGAGACTTCAAAAGTATTCCTCCTAATGAAGTTACCCAATTCACTCGCATTTTCAACCTGCCCTCCATCAAATATTCACACAACTACGAGACAGGAAGGCAGCCAGGCACAGTCATCGTATACATCCGGTGTTTCAGTCGCATATGATATGTATCTCGTATTCAATTTGCATCGATCGTCGGCATGCTACGTTAAAAAAAATAATCCGGTCTAAATAACAGTAGGCGATTGACATAGCAAGGATAAAGGGCTTCTCGACTCCTTGCATACATGAAAGATATAAAAATGAAACGGCTCAAATCAACACTTTTCTCTACCCGGCTTCCGCCTTTGCCATATTTTTGATTGCATGCCAATGGGGAAAAACCATCATCGTCCTCGTACACCCATCATCTATGTTCATTTATGCAAATGGATGGATGATGGTGTCACATACACACACATACATCCCCAATGTTGTTCATTTTCATTCACTCTGTTGCTCAACTCGATTACAGTTGATGACTTCGAATAATTCCACCCCCCTTCCCTTGTTTCAGATTGTTTGAAGAACATGTAGAACTGCTAGATATGTTCGCCAGTTTTAAGGAGCTCAAAACGAGAGAAGAACAGGCAACGTCCGAAGAACTGGCAGAACATGCCAACAAGGTGATGAACACGCTGGACGAGGGAATCCGCGGCCTGGATGATCTGGACACGTTCTTCGAGTTTATCCACCAGGTGGGGGCATCCCACAGGCGGATACCCGGTTTCAAACAGGAATACTTCTGGGTAAGTAAACAAACAAACGAAGCAGGTAACAAGTCAAACTAAACAAACTAAAACCATCCAACATACAATTGTGGCACACGGCTAGCGATGTGCTGCTAATGAGATGCCAGCAGGTGCCACAGCTCAGCGCAAAGTAGTTTGACGAGAAAGTTGCTCTTCCTATTTCGTCCTGTGGCGTTGATAGATTTTGTGAGGGGGGGGGGGGAGGTTTGGCTGGTTTATGTTTGTTCAAGGTTAGTACTTTTTTGGACCATAGGATCGGATTTGTAAATGGAACGTTACCATTTCAGAAGTTTCATCACATGATTGGCCTAACAAGCGATATATCTAATAATTTTTCCTTGTTCAAATAAATGGATAAATTTAGATTTGAAAAATCCATCCAGTCTACATACGCCCCTGGCCAGTGCTGTATACTTCCTTTTGTAGTGCTTACTGTGAAGACGCACGCGCTTGGAATCAACTCTATCCTAATTTAACTGGGTCCGGGAATTGCGGCTCTAATTCCAGACTCGTGTAAAATTAACGGAAGTTAGACGCTTTTTGAGTGCCGTACGGTGGATGAGCAAGAGCGTAGGTCGGGTGGAGGTTATGTTTATCTTGGAAATCTCTCTTGATGCCAGGATTAGGAATAGCGTGTCATTCATGTGTGATTCGCGAGAACTTCGGCCCAACCTTCAAAACCGTTTCCTACATTGTACGTGCATTGTTGTCAGTCACAATGCCAACCCGAATGTAAACTATTTCCATTATATTGCGGTATGCGGTGAAAGAGTTAAATGCGTGCAAGATATTATGGTATGTTGAAAATGTAATTTACATTTCTGATTCCAAGCGATTAACTTTTGTTTTGGGATCTTGAATACTCCTTGCCGGGAACAGAACCTGTTTACTGATGGGTGGCTCTATGTTAATATGATTAAGAAACTATAAACTTAACGGCTTCGGTTGTATGGTAGTAATTAGATGGAATCATCTTATGCGTTTGCCGTCAATCGATAAAAAGAAAGTAAAAACTATTAATCAAGGAAAGTATTTTACGATTTCAAATTTATGAGTTGGAAAATTTGACGACTATAACTTTTGCACCAGCGATTTTGGATGATAGAGCAATGGAACTGCGAAGCGAGATGAGTCAACAATAATTAAGTGAACATCTTCAGAAAACTTTCGCTCCTGTGAGAAACGTCAAGGAAATTTAGCATCTCTGAGTACGAAAACTAATAATCGTTTCAATTTAATTAAAGGAAAAATTTCACACATTCCAATAATATCTCTCATTAATAACATTTCAAATCACCAATGCCGAACGTCCGTCTCGCATTTCGCACACCTTCTACTGCAAGAGTGAACCGCTTCCATGGAGACGCATCGTTATCCACTCTTACACCATGGCAACAAACCGAAGCAATCCTCACGAATAGACAGTTCTCGCACCTGTCGGATATAAACACGCTATTTCCAAACAAAACCCTGCTGCCCGCAAGCACTGGGCAATAAAAGAAGGAAATCTTCATTGTTTGTTGCGTGCTAGAACAACAGTCAGTGTTCAGTTATCCGATCCCCAACCCAGCTGAGCGTTTTTGCCTTCTACTGTCCGTCCATGTTCAGCAAAGGTAATACCTACTGCGAACAATGTCGGTTTCAGCGATGAATGTAATAACACAAAATAAAAATGATTATAATGTAGATGTGCGAAGCCTCAGTAGTCGGGGAAGCAGACGGAACGAACCTCACCTAGGTGACGGTAATTAGAACCCTCCCGTGGGGAAACTGATCCGTGCGACCATTATGAGTTTATCTTTTCTTTGTTCGAAAGTGTTGTCCTTTAACCTATCATTTAAACAGGTGCTGCGCTGAAAAGGGGCAAATGTCGACAGCAGAGCTTTCAATATTGTTTGTTAAAAGTGGAGCATTTATGTAATTTTTAAATTATTCTAGTTTGAGTTTGAGTTTGATAGAAGACGGCTTGCGAACTACGAATGATATCAATTCATGTAATTTGAAATATTTTTAAGGGTGTCCGACCATTTCGTCGAATGCCGTTTGGCCGAATACTTGAGAAGACTTCATCCACTTTCGAACTATACCAATACGGGAGATCCATCCAGCTGAGATATCCCGACGGCCGAATGAAATTTCTGCTATATACCAAGTGGTAGATTTTGGCTTCTTTTAAGAAGGTTACTAGTGCTGCCGAGGCCGGAGTATCATTCCCGAGCAGATCCCTGATGCTGGGAGTTAAGCAGAGCGACTCCCGAAGATTTTGGAACTCCGGGCAGTTGCACAGGATGTGTTCGACGGTGTAGGGTACCCCGCAGATGATGCAGCTTCTGCGGAACAGCAGGCCACCATAGCCTCGAAATCACGCGTTGATCCTCTCAGGTTGTCCAGTTCGCTCCATGCTTCAGTTGACTCTTTGAATTTGAAAAATGTGGAACGCTTCACGATTTTGCGTGTCATCCTTGCGCAGGGGCCATACCAATCTTCTCAGTATCGTTCTAATTTTAGTATATGTTCAACCGAAGTTAGGTCGTGTCAAAATGACGGGAATAGTTAATAGTTAAGATTTCACGAAAAACGATATTCTTTTAAACAAATGCACAGTGTATTGTACTGGTAATTAATGATTCATAAACATGGTATTGCCTTTTTGCATCACAGTTGGTTCCATTCCGATGAGTGCACAGTAGGCTCTGACCGAGAGCCGAGGTTTTTGCTTTCGCTTTTCGCTGTCATGAATTTCGTGTTTTCCGAATATCTGTTTTTGGTGTAGTGAATGCGGGAAAATGATTTTAATTTGATCTTGATTTATAGTGAATATATATAATATATAGCTGCCCAAACAATTTCCATCGTGTTGCTACCGCGCTGCGTTGTATAGGGTTGTGCTTCAGTCGTTTTTTTGTGCTCCGCCCGCGCACCAGGAGGAAGAGTTCTATCGATTTTTTTACGTAGGACTACGTCTTTGTGGACTATACTTGGGTGCAAATCAAAAAAATGTGTGAAGAAACAGTGTCCGGTTTAATCACAACATTTTCTTTAGATTGAATGTAAGATTTGTTTGATAAAAGGATGATAGTTGTTTATCAATGGTTAACTATTGAAAATTAATCAACGTTTTTAGCCGTAATCAACCAATCACGAACCCGCTCGCTATGACTATCGAGAGAACAGAGAGAAGAGCTGGCGCCACTCAATGTAATTTTTTTTTTCTTTGCTATTTTCTATTCATTGACCTACATCAGCAAAATATAGAAAAATGTGCGGCTTATGCCGTGGATACTCTTAAGACTCATGCTCAAAGTTTATCATATCCGGGAAACGAAGAAAATTTGACTGCAGTCATCGTTTGGCTGTCGAGTGCTTAAAAAGGGTGTTCGTTGCGTTGTACACTAAAAACGACACACTTAGAAATACCTAATCTTACACGTGACGGAATCCATCTTTGACAAAAAGGAAGAGACGTAAACAAACATGTCATGTAAAATTAAGTGTTCTGAGAATGAAAAGTTCGAAAGTACGTTTGATTGAGCTTAAATTCGCGTCTATTATGACTCAATTTTGTGTCAACATTGACGCTCGTATATGTCAGTCTCAGAGCACCTAAATTTGCATTAATTTTTCTAAGTGTGGAAACTAAGATAGTACGTAACTTTTATTCAGTTGTGAGTCACTTTTGCTCATTCGTATGGAGAAATTTCTAAAAGCGTAGGTCACTCGTCGCCTAAGAAATTTCTCCATCCAAATGAATAAAAGTGACTCATTCTTTTCATTCAATTTCAGTGTAACTTGCCATCTCGGCTAGAAAAAAAAACGTGATTCAGATGCATAAGGTCTATTTGGGTGGTCAAGCTCGTGTGAAATTTGCATCAAACTCCATCAAATTCCATGATAGCACGACCAGAAAGCAGGTATTCAGTGAAGTTATTTGGATGGATAAGACCTGGGGGCAAGACAGCTTTTGATTGTGTGTAATATTTGAGTTAATTTTGAGCAACTTTGAGTAACACGAGTTGCTCAACATGCGATGCATGCGAGGGGTGCGACACATCTAAATCTCGATTTTAAATGGTTGAAAAATCTCACTCTAGCGAATCAATCTACGAAAAATCTTTTTTCATTTTTTGCATCTAAACCCATCTACTCGCTTCGTTCTCCACCTTTTTGCAGGAAATCTTCAAAATCACAATCAATCGTGTTTCTATCTATTAAGCGCGAGTGCATCTCACAACAGCAAAGCAAAAAATTACCTGCATCTTAGATAGAGTCGCCCCCCTCGGATGCATGGTAACACAGCAACCTTTTTGTGTTTATTACCGAACTGTCAAACAAAGGCGTTCAACGGTGATAAATATTTCTAAATTCTGCTGCTTCGCATTATCGAATGGTGAATCCTGATAAATGTGGGCGTCTTAGTGGAATACCTGTATAAATAAAGAGATCAAAAGGTGGTTTACACTGGATAACCATCCATAGATCCTATGACCTTCCTAATTCTTCGTGCCAATCCTTTGTAAGCCGTTTTCATCTGAATCTAGTGCAGCCTGTTATCGGTCGACGTTGTCCATAGCATTTGCAGATTCAAAATATGAGCAATTTACTGAAGTACATTTTTGGTTAAATTGACTGCAGTTTGAATCTTTGAGAGGTATCAAACTTACGACTACAGCTTTGTAATACTATTCTCTGACTTTTGTCTGAATGCCCAAGCATTAGGGCAGAACTTTGAGGCAGCAACCTCATAGTTCTGCACTAATACTTGGGCATTCAGAGAAGTCTATTCTAGAACAATAATCCTTGTATTAATTTGGTTGATGGTTGTCATTCAGAAAAATTAACTATAAGCAATTCTATTTGCCACTAAGCTCGAGCCGAGATTAATAGAAAAGCAAAACATTGTCATCGTATAGTCATATTTAAATTATATGTTTCGATCACACCAAATTTAGCTCCCATCCATCTTGAATTATCAACTTATTCATGTTTATTTGAAATGC